AAATAAATAAATAAATTGATATTTTTATAAATGTATTTCGATTGTATATTTAAAAAGTAAGAATTCATTTTTTGCAATAAAAGCTAGTTAATATTATCTATATAATTTATTCGGGGTATCCACTATAAAAATATCTATAACAAATTAATATTACTTATAAATATTATAGGATTAGGAATTAAAAGTGGTTACTAATAAGAATGTGTCCACTCTTAAGTGTGAAATTATAGTAGTGAAGCAGTTTAATTATATATTTATGTTTAACATAAAAAGTGTTATGAAAATAAAATATAGTAAAATTTAAAATTTTCGTTAAATCAAAATTGTTTCAAACATTCAAATACACAATAAATTTTAAATTCACATACTGCTTACTCAAAATTATTAATTAAAACATTTTGTTTTCAATTATTAAAATTTATATTATATAAATAGATCGTTAAGGAATAATATAACCGCCTATATTAAAAATATCTTTATTCCAACTCTTAAATGTCTATAAAAATCAATATTAATAGTAATTACGTATTCAGGTTAAACTATCTATCAGGTTTAACCATCTTTCAATTTTTATCTGGTACTACAAACAATATTCATATAATCCTGTGTAATAACAATGATATAATTTTTTTATTTTATGTTACTTTAAATTAATAACAGCACAATGGTAACATTTAAATAAAAATTACAGGACAACTTCTGAGATATAAAAAATATTACTCTAAATTACTTTTATTATTAAATTTTCAAATATTATAGGATACAATTAAGGCAAGTAGGCATATATTTTCTACAAAAAATAAAATATATAATATTAACTCTGTTTTAAATTTAATATAAAATCCAAAATTAATTTTTTAAAGATTGTATTTCGATAAAAAACAGAATAAATTAAAATCAAAATTCGATGAAAATTTAAAACGAATGGACATACTACAACGTTCTTTAAAACTGTTTATACTGTAAATACTTATTAACGTAAAATAAATTAAAATTGAATATAAAAATGTTAAGAATTCGAAATAAAATTATAAAGTTCAAATCTTTGTAGTGACGTTATTATATTAGTCAATTTTATCATTGAAAAATGTGAAAGGTCATTAATATCTTATCAGAAACTAATAAACTGAAGCTATGACAAATTTTTCAAAAATATTGAATGTTAATATTATATTGATTATTAATATCTTCTTATTATTTACTATAGTTGATAACATAAAATATAAAATAATTCTGCATAAATCTATCTAGCAACAAATACCTACAATTACAATAATTATAACACACCTATACAATGTCGCCTTTAACAGTGGTTCTCAATATGTGGTCCGTAGATTTCCAGGGGTCCGTGGGTCAATTTTAACGATCTGTAGTTATGCGTGAAATTAAAATAACAAGAATTTCGTCAAACTAGGATGTAATCATAAACAAAAATAAATGTTTTACTAATCTAATGATCGAAAATCAATGCAATTACTTATGTTTAAGTAACGTGTTAAATTGTAACATTTAGTTGTAATAGAGTTATACTTCCATTAAAAGGTCATAATGAAAGAATTACATTAATATAAATTCTTTGTGTTGCTTTTATTTAAAAATGTGTGTTTATATTACAAAAAAAAGGTACGAAAGATCAAGAGAAATCATAAAAATGTTTTTTGCTTTAGAAAAATAATTGGATGTAACAAAAAATGTATACCAATTTCTTTATAAAAAATTTAAGTTCTAACTAGGTACTAATGACTTTGTATTAATTGCAGGTAACCATTAGATTATAAAATGTTTTTATTTATTTAATTTATCTATAGCAGTATAAGTAACACTAACCGTTAGGTATAAGGAGACCGTCGCTTTTTTACCGATCGGTTGGTAAGTTGAAAAACGTAGTGTTGGAATACAAGACGTAATAATTTCTAGATTATCCATCCAAAAACTATAAAGTAATGTCAGGTGTAACTTAGTTAAAGCACCAAAAAACGACTGTAACTGATCACGATGACACACCGTGTCTCAATTATTTATTTAATTATAGTAAAATCAACTAATAAAACGTTATGGTTTAACTTGTTCTGCTACTTGGCTAACAATACAACCATATAAATTTGAAACTATGATTTTGAAGAATATTCTAATAAAATATATAGTTTTAAATAAATTAACAGTAATCAGGGTGCATATAATATTCTTTAAATATTTAACGAGTATTTAATATAAATATTCAAATTACCTAATCAATAAATGTAGTAATATTTTCAAAGTATTTACATAATATGCATTAACTTATTATTATACATAAATCAATAAATCATCAGCTATTTTTAACTTGATGACTTACGAAAAAAAAAATGAGTTCTCCTCTATTTTTCTGATTAACAATGAATTACGAAGTAATATATACATTATGCATTAAAAAATACTAGACCAGAAAAAATGACTCTACCGGGAATTATATTGATCATACTAGTCTAGTTCTACGAGAACAATTAAAACAGATGTATTTCATGTAAAACATTTGAAAAAAACCGTATGGAAAAACTATGATTGTATACTTTTATGTACGTACAAACTCATATTCTATTATAATAAATCAACATTTTTATAAACAATTATATGGAACAATGAGTATTATTTTAATTGAAAACTATTGATTTATTATTTTTCATAATATTTAATTATTATCTTATGCTCATTCATTTTCCATATGTCACAACCATAAAATGTATTGAAAATTATTTATAATTAGTTTCAAAAAATTGAGAATTTAATATTACAAGTATAATGGTATAATGTGTAACGTAATTCGATTGATAATAAGAAAAAAACATGTAGATTAGCTATAGTACATGTTTTAGAATTTAGATCGTGTATACATCTTAAACAAGGTCACATAGAAAGATCAAACAACGGGCATACCCATTTTACTTGCACGTTTAATTATGTGTGTACTTCCTGGTAAATTTACACGTTTATGTTTGAACCAAGTGACAAAAATTATGAAGGTACAAAGTGAAAATTATTCGGTTTTACTTTACATTTTCAACTTGTTTAGGCAAACATTGAATCAGTGAAGATAAATAGTAAAAATTATTTTTTACTAGAAAAAAGTATTACATATTAAAAATTATAATTTCTGAAATATATAAATTGAAAATACATTATACATATCGATTATCATATACAATTGTTTTTTCTTTAAAGACCCTTCGTAATACCATATATATTTGTGGTTTAAAATTATAAAAAGTTATTATAAAAGAACATTTGTATTTAGTATTTAAAATAAAGGTTATTAATGGTTCTCATTGATGTATATTTGTATTATACTTTTTATTAAATCAATTTTATAATCAATATTTATACTTAATAATTTTATTAATTTATTCATTGTCAGATATAATGTTTATTTAAAGGATAAAAAATCAAAAAAATCAACTATACACTTTTCTTCTCGTTGTTCTTGCAAAGATTCAATACTATAATATTCAATATACTTTTCTTTTTTTGCATTTTTTCACATATTTTATACAAATATATTTTACAGTAGATATACCTATCGGATGTTTGATTTACCTAGATAATGCATTTTGCATAAGTTTTCAGAAAATTATAAACCTCCTTTTAGTTTTTACACTTATCATAACTACATAATCTTAACACATTTTATTCATCTTTCTTTGTTTAGTCTATTAATGTAAAGTTTATATCTATGCGATGACAGATTTTGCAGATAAGATCATTACCATGAGCTTATACATTTAATAAGAATAATGATATCTATAAAAATTGTTTCGTACTCCAGGTTCGCATTATTTTTTTCTATTCATTTTTACAGCAATCAACGTTCAATATTGATTAGTTAATAAAATAAAGATTTTGAGTGAAACTTAGATGCTCTCAAAAGTACAGACGGAATCTGAATCGCCACCGTGTTAACCATTATCAAATATCTTTGAAGCTTTCCAATTATAAAACAGCATTATTTTTACCGTAGAATATTTTAAAGCTCTTTCAAGAGCCAACCAAATTGTTTTCGACATGAAATTAATATGTTTGTAAATTATATTCTAAATCTTTAAATGCATTATCTACCATTTGCAATATTGTTGTGAGAGAAAACTAATTGATAAAATAATTATCATTAATTTTATATGATTCCAAGAACCCCCCTCCCATCTTATTCGCTCGAATTCCTCAACACAGAATATTTTAAACAATTATTAAACAGGTATATTTTCAACCATTTTATTAAATCTGTAATCTTAATTCTAAAACAATATAACCTACTAGAAAATAATAACTAATGTATGTCGATTAAAAAAAAAAAGAAAGAAAATATTGATCTTGAATAAAAAATCAAAACCGACGATAGATTGATGGTAATATTAAGTTTTCTTATTCCACGTGGGATTATAATTTTTCTCTACCCATACGTATGCAAACTATAATTAATAGAATCTTTAACAGCCAAAATAATTTAACCCAAAAGCATCTTACAATGCAACATGTTTAGCGAAGATAGTATTCAAACTGAATGCTACATAGATTAAAGACATAGAAGACAAATTACCTCTATCATAGCAATTTACTAATACTTAACTCGAAATTCACTTCTCTCAATCTAAAATTTATCCATTCATACGAACTATATTATGAAATTCAAGTTATCGTAATTTTACAATTAAACACGATTATTACTGGTTTTAATTTTATAGTATCTATTTTCAGCTATCAAATTATAAGCTAGAAATAAGTATCGTCAATAACCCTGTTATTATTGACAATAATGTTATAAAATTTATTTACTATATTATCTGAAACAATCTTATATTTCGTTGCTTATCCGACCAATTATACGTCGACAACAAAGTTTACATTTAATTTGTATTTATGTAATAGCTTCTTCATGTTAGAATAAGGTTTATTTTCAAATCGTAAAGTTAAAATGATAGAAAAACTTTATTAAACAATTTTTCAATATTATATTCCGAGAAACAACTTACTGTTAACTACGACGGCGTATAAAAGAATCACAGCTAACAGAGGAACCAATTCCATCACTGCCAAAGGACCGCAATCATTTAAAGTTTTCCATCTGAAAAATATTATTAAACATTAGAAAAATTCGTGTCCAGCATATGTCAAATTTCATTTATTCAATTAACTAGATATGTTTCGGGTACCCGGTAATTACTCGATATCATAATCAAGACTCAGACCTTATAATAATATAATTAATTTTTTAATTAAGGATTAACGAATCAATTCACATAGCTGGTTATTAATGTAAATAAATGGTATTTTTCTTATAATAAAAGAATAAAAAGAAGAATGAATCCCGTATTTATTAATAAAATATAATATAACAATCTGAATTTAAAACACATTATGCCCACCGACTGACATCCATCAGTCAACATCAAAGGCACGCAATACACTTTTTATCATTTTTGCTCTCTTACTTCACTTGTTGCCTGTTTATAATTTGAAATTTATCCATAACTTTATTTATTTTTTTTATCTAATTATTACTGTAAAATAAGAATCTAATTGACGACGATGAGTAAGCGCAATGTAATATCTTTAATTTTGTTTTTAAGTTATATACATTAAAGATGTTCTGAGTACTCGGAAATTACTTGATAACCAAGTATTCAGTGTAATAGTTAAGACTCGAATCTTACCCACTACTCGGCGTAACACTGTATTTTTACTCGGTCCTCATCAAATACTCGGTATAATATTAAAAATTTTCCTAGGCTAATACTCGTTATCTAGTGTATAATTAATTTTGTACCAGGAACATTTCTACTATTAAACATCATAAACAAACATAAATTAAAGAGTAAACTCCACGTCTACTTCATACACAAAAATTATAGATAGGTTTAAAGTGATTCGTTTATCGGTTTTCAATAATTAAATTAAATTTTCATTGTAGTAAAATTATGGAATGAGAATGCAATTACTTATGTGATTACAATTTTCCATTGTTTGATTAACATTTTTTTATACTTACCACGTGGATACACTAAATTTCTTAATACCTATAAATAATATATCTTTTTTTTTTTATTTTTTTATTTTTTTTTAAAGGTAAGTATAATAATTTGTACATTCAGTTATCTGTTACACTTTATGTTTATTTATACTAGCTCAATGAATTTAATTTTAATTTAATACACGAAAAAACTTGCACTTAAACGTTGTTAAGACAGTATATTATTTATTCTAAATTCTGTTAATAGAAATAGTATCAATACATTTTATGATTATATAATGGACTTTAAGATTATTAAAAAATGATGAGTTAAGCTTTTTGGTATTTAATTTTCCATACATTTAAATCAAGGACAAAATTTCGAATGATGAAAGTTTTAATACATTTTAAATTTATATTTAAGTAATATCAGAAATGTTATCTAATATACTCAAATAAAATATTTAAATTCTTTAAAAAATATAAGTGTTGAATATTATTTACTAATTCTGATATAAATTTTAACATTTTTAAATATTTATATTTGTATTTATATGACAAGATGAATATTTAGAATTAAATTTATGTTGAATATTTTGTGAAATGTGATGTAACAACATTATAAATATTTTAAAACTATTTATATAACCTACATTTCATATTTTTGTTAAGAATGTGTTTATTAATAAATATTTCAATGACGCGTCATAAAAGTTTTATAGGTACATAAATGTTAATGTGCATTTTTAATCTAAAATAATATAAACAAAAGAAACATGTATTTGGAAAATAATTTACCTACCCAATTGTTGTTATTGACACATAATAAATTAATAATAATAAAGACAAAATATATAATTATTATTGTTATTTTTAAACGCGCAATAAAGCGGCTCATTGTATAGGCAAAATTGATACATGAATGTGTTGAGCAATACAATTTTGGATGAGCCAATATATATAAAATTTTCGTAATTCATGACAGATTGATGGAAATAAATTCACCAAAATATAACCACAACACGATGAAAAATAATCCAATGTTTTTAGAATATAGCAAATAAATTTTGTCTATAGATACTAGTGCACGGTCCATTATTTTAAGGACCAGACCGGACTACAAATTTTTCCAAGGGACCGAAGTCGGACCGGACCACACTTAAACGTTAATCAAAGACCAAAATTGGACCAAAGCGACGGTTCATATTATTTTTAGACCGGATCGGACCAGTAATTAAATAATATTTAATAAAGTAGACAAGTAGACCGTAGACCGGTCTGTCAGTCCGATCTAAAAACATTTTGGACCGTTTATGGACCGGTCTGTAAGATTCAGTCTGTATTAGCCTAAACCGTACCATATGATGCGTTTAGTATTAAACTGGACCAGACTACCCGAATTTATAAATAAATATGTAGGTTTTTTTCATTTTATTTGTTTACATAACAATATCTATATTTAGATTGAAAGTACCATGATTGGGACCGGATTGAAAATAATCAAGCAATCTATATATGTAAAAATGGAGCCAAAAATGTATAACATTTCATCAATTGAGAGCGACTAGCCCAGGTTTGGCCCGATTTGGCTCAAATTTTTTTTAATTTTTCGTAATCGCAAGAAGATTTTACGAAAAAAAAATTTGGAAAAGTGCTATTGTTTAATAAATCGTAGGTTAATTTAATATTTTTTGACCCGATCGATAACTGCGCAATTGAAAATGAATTATTAAATAAAACTATTAAAAAACCATTTAAAACTATTAATTTTATTTTTGGTATTAAATGATGGGTATTGCATAAATATTAAACAACACGATCCCGCAACAGGTGCCAAAACAAACAAGCATGTTAGTTCGAAGAATTATTATGCATATCGATTGATGATTAGACGCGATTAGGACAACGTTATTCTACGATGTCATAAGCTTTATCAACATTCCATGGTCGACATGTATGTAAAGATAGAGAGCGAAAGATTTCGATACTTGCGATTCAATCAAAAAAAGTTGCGTGCAGAAGATTCTCAAAACAATTGCTAGATATAGATGATGGGAAAGTTACTACCGATGAAACGGGATGTATAAAATTACCGACCGATTTCTGCATAATCCTTGATTAGCAAGATGCTCTCATTGACCAGATATTTTTCAATGTACATAGACAACACACAAATCATGAGTGGCTGGCAGAAAGAGCAATTTTAGCAGTAAAAAATGTGGACATTAACGAACTGAATCTCAAGATACAAAATTTGTTATCAGGATAGTTGGTGTCATACAAATCTATTGATACAGTTTGCGATGCTATTGAAGCTATAAATTGTCCAACAGAGTTTTTAAACTCGTTGGATTAACCAGTCATGCCACCGCATAATTTACAACTGAAGGTTGGATCTCCGGTTATTTTGCTTCGTAATTTGAACGCACCTCGACTATGCAATGGCACGCAATTAGTCATTAAAAAATTAATAAAAAATATTATTGAAGTCATAATTTTAAAATTCCGAGGTGAAAATATATTATAACCACGAATTTCTATTATACCACAGATGTGCTAATATAATTTAAACGCCTTAAATTTTCAATTAGATTGGCATTTGCAATGATTATCAATAAGTCTCAAGGCCAAACGATGTCTGTCTGTGGCTAAGATTTGAGCACATCATGTTTTTAACATGGACAATTATACGTGGCGTGCTCTCGAACCATCCAGTTTGTTTGTGTTGACGAAAGATGGGATAAAAAAAAATATTTTACACTCTGTTGCATTAAGAGATTGATATTGTTTTTTTACTAATATTGTCATAATTAGCGATATATATAATTTTAAAGGATCAAAAATAATAATAAATTATTATAAAAATAAATGTTTGATCATCAAACTTTGATGTTTTTTAATTTTTATATTCCGTCACCGTTCACGGCACTCCATACCTCTTTCACTTAGATACCACATCCTTACCCACCTACATTATATTAGTTTTTTTTTTTTTTAGCAAAATATTCTCTAGAAAATATTTATATGACAAAACATTTGTCGGGTCAGCTAGTTATTAATTAAAAAACATTTTATAATATCGTTTAATAATACAGTGAAGTAAATTATAATGATTTAATTAGTAACTTAGTTGAATAATGAACGAAACAATATACATTTTGCCTTTTACAATATTATGATAAATTCCATGATTTTGTCTTGAAAAATATATTAAGTTGTTATAGTGTTTTACAGTTATATTATTAAAGTAAATGCTAAATAGTTCTGTGTACAATACAATTTATTAAGACAGTATAATTAGATCAATTAGATATTGAAAATTGGTTAGAATTCAGTGAAAATAAACCTATTAATGATATTAAAGTAATTTGTCTTTTAAAGTAACTTTTTTCATTAATTATTCAATATTTCAAATTAATTAATTTTATGGCTATATCAACCAGAATTTATTTTGATAAAAAAATGACATCACTAAAAATATATTATTAATTGATTGTTATTGTATTTATTTTAAGTGATATGGTTATATTTTTGATTCAAATGCAAAGATGTGTTCCATGAGTGTTGTTCAATATTGCAATACTAACATTATAAAACGATTATTATAGAATATATATATATATATCGAGCAGTGGTGTATACATAATTATTGTACGGGAGGGGATAAGTTGCAAACAAATCATTATGGAAGGAAAATTTCTAAACCTAAGTACCTGAATATTTAAATAATAAATTATAAAAGATATATATATTGAATGTGTTAAAATAATAATTTAAAATACATCCTTGCAATATTTTTTTTGTTTCCTTATAATTTTCTTACATTAAGAACACTATTTTATACAATTTTAAAAAATACCTATAAGGGGATCTAATCCCTACATACCTCTTGTATACGTCCCTAATATCTAGTATAAATTATAGAATATTAGAATCTATATTAGAGATAGAAGAATATTTATATTATATATCATTGTTAACTAACCTGGCCAATTCATACTCATATCAAACACTTTGCTATATAAAATCAATAATGCCATTTACATATTTTATTAACTTCTAAATATGTCAATCTCAACAACAAAATTATCTTGTATAAATTGTTTCTTAAACCA